TGTCTTAGAGCCTGTCTTAGAGACTGTCTTAGAACCTGTCTTAGAACCTGTCTTAGAACCTGTCTTAGAACCTGTCTTAGAACCTGTCCTAGAGCCTCTCTTAGAGCCTGTCTTACAAATATGGTCCCCATCTGGTAATTGTATTTACTTGTGTTGATTATTTTTTATTAATAATTATTTTTAATCAATCTGTGCATTTAACTAATTCCAAGATATACACGTATACTATTTTTTTAAGAATTGATATAGAAATTCACAACATGCCACATCTTTGAAATTTCACTTTTATTTTTCCATATTAATAACAGAACTTCAAATTTCATGCTTTTAGATCAGTGTTCTGTATACGATTTTAGAACCATAATTTTATTCATTAAAGCTTAGGTGACCAGCTAGTTTGATACGTGAGAATATAAAGCGAAACAAAAAATATACATATGTTGGGTATTTGATTCGTATTTTTTATACCTTTAGTTCAACGGTAATTTAAACATCACTTTTTTTCTTTCAACTCTACAATTGAAATAAAATTTAAAAAAAGAAAAGTTTTGCAAAGGGAGTGAACAGGTCAACGGTAGGATTAGAGTTAAATCCCTTTCAACGTTTTGACAAGTGTGACCAAGGCTTATGACAGCTAAACCAGCCACCGTGTTGGCTAACTACAGGTGTTGAGGGTGGGTGATGGTATGCCCCTGTTTGTTGTTTCTGAAATATCGCGTAGTTTGGCGAGGGATTACGGGATTACGTAAGCATATATACAAAAATGGGCGGACTGGATTTGATACAGTAAAACGTTACAACTTTTTTAATCCTGTTAAAAAAGCTTAGTGTCATGTGTCGTTTTTTGGATTTTTATAGATTTCTATACTAGAAAAAGCTGTCTCGGTTTCGTTGAGTTCCTCGGATTTCGTTGGTTACGATATAGCCCCGCTTATAAATTTGAGAAACATTAATTATTACATGTATATATGTACATTGGCATATATATATATATATATATATATATATATATATATATATATATATATATATATATATATATATATATATATATATATATATATATATATATATATATATATATATATATATATATATATATATATATTTATGCCTTATATGTATATACTTATCTATTTTAATATGTATATATATATATATATATATATATATATATATATATATATATATATATATATATATATATATATATATATATATACATGTCTTTGCTAGCTCCTGCATAACGCATGCCATCTTAAACCCTGCTTTCCTCATCCTGCTATTTACATATCCATCCATCTTTTTACCCAGTAATTTAACACCTCCGACATCCCCCCACCACCTAGCCACCCCACCCCTACCCCCGGGGTAGAGTTTAATCCACTTGGTAGGTCCACTGGGTCTCCTATGTGTCTAAGCTCTCAACCCCCAAGGGAGAGCATCACGCACAACATGGTTTACGCAGTGAAGGGCGACAACCCAACCCAACACTTCCTTCACTGCGGCCCAGCCTCTACACTCTAAATCTGACTTGGTGTGAAATTTCGATGCTGCGCGGTGCGTTGCTAAGCGTGAACCCACGGTATTGTCCGGGGCCATGGGGGGATAGATTAGAGTCATAAACAGAGGGGTAGACCTCGGGGGCACAAGGACACCACTCGCATAAATTGAGGCGGCGCGGGGGCATAAATCTTCATCCGACGATACAACGGGGAGATAATTTGTTGTTCCCGTATACGGGTAAGGGTTAGTTTGCATGCTAACAAATGTAACGGGCTGGGGGGAGTTCTGTGTGTAGATGGGTCGTGTGAACTAATGTTCTCCAGTCTGTGTTACTTGCAGCTGACTTTGAGTCCTTAAATTTTCAAACCTTTTATCGCTGGCCATCGATCAGCTGATATCTAATCTTAAGCCATCTAATCTGGGGTCCTTTTACCATGGCCCTTCTTATATAAGGAACTCTTATTTTAAAAATTAATATGTGAACTTCTGAACTGGGGTCATATAAGTTTGGGGGTCCTTTAATCTGGGGTCCTATTATCTGGGTGCTTTAATCTAGAGACGTTTTATCCGGGGCCTTAATATCTAAGGACCTCTTTTCTTAGAAAAAAATGTAACCTAAGCAACTCTTAACATGGGCCAAATAATTTTGGTACCTCTTAAATCTGCGACCTTTTATTTTGATTACTATAATCTAGTCCCCTTTTACCTGGGGCCGGCTTACATATTAGTGACTCTAAACTGTGTCTAAACTTACCTTGCTTGCTGGTCTGGCCTGACTCGAAAGAGTGACCAGCTATGATGTGATCGCCATCTATTACAAGATAATAAAGGTAGATTTCTTCTCTTAATTTTCGTTTATATATATATATATATATATATATATATATATATATATATATATATATATATATATATATATATATATATATATATATATATATAATATCGTTCAAAGCCAGACAGTGATTAGCTGGTGAAGTTCCGGAATCAGTAAGTGGAACTTAATCAAGCAAACAAACAACTGTAAAAAAGAAGTTTTGGAAACGTATATCATGTGCATTTCGTCTAATGTGTGATGAAGTGAAAGGCGTGTAAATTAAGCTACATTAACTGCACACTTCTCTTTGGCGCTTCACACATATTTAAATTTGCATTGTGTAACATGAAAAGCACACATCACATTTGCTGGCTTATATTTAATACTGTGCAAACACATTTTCTCTGATACCCTATTTGCGTATTTTTAAGAAAACTCTTCAAGGGCCATAACCGTATCAATATAACCTGTACAAATGGGGCATAACTCCATTTATTTAACAGATTAGACGGAAGAAGTTAACGCCTTAAGGTGATATAGCACATACGTGACGTGTGTTTAAAGAGGGATACATATAAGGTTATGTATGCAATACATAATAGTGTATGATTGCTTTATATCTTTTTGTTTATTCTATGAGCTATGTCAATATTAATGACGTCAGTGCTTCCCGCGCTTAAGTGAATGGCGCAACATCTATTTTTAGTATTTCTCCTTCTTCGGATCATTTTTGTATTATATTTTTAAAATAAAAACAACTTGCCGCAGGAATTTGCGGTGATTTGGCGTACTGTGCCAACCTACATCAAATTGGAATCAGAATAGCAGTTCTTGTACAAAGTTTGAAAAGCCTTAAGGAAAGTGCAAGGCAAAATGTCTTCTTCTTCGTTCTTAATTTTTAGTGTTGGAAGGGATCCCCTCCAATACAATTTTAAGTATACGTGTCAACTGGTTATGCGCGATTGAGGCCATTGACTCCGATTTCAGCCTATTTTTCTTTTTGGATTTGCTTCCACAGCCTTTGTTCAACCTAGAACAAACTACAAGGCAGCAGTTGTTTTATTTTGGAGTTGTCTCTCATAGAAGAGTGGCTGTCCCCAGCTAACGAACCTCATCTGCCCGAGGGTTCGAACTCGAGACTTTTCGGTTTAGCAACCATGAGCTTTACCGTGTAAAATTTAAATGTGATTGTAGTGTTGTTAGAGTGAGTGTTAGAGTTGGGGTTAGAGTCACGGCTAGGGTAAGGGTTTCTTTCAAAATTATATTTCAACATAATCCAGCGTCTTCGTGCTTTACTATGATGTTGGACGGGATTTTATCCAACACAAATATAACGAGTCAACCTTGTATGGGCCATTTAGGCCGTTGACTCCGATTTCAGCCTGCTTTTCTTTTTGGATTTGCTAGCCTTTGTCCAACCAAGAACAAACTGCAAGGCAGCACTTAGTTTATGTTGGAGTTGTCTCTCCTACATGGGTTGCTGTCCCCAGCTATCGAGCCTCATCTGCCCACAGGTTTTAACTCAGTGTTTCTACCAGACTTTTTTCTCCGGGAGTGCACTTGAAATATTATTTGGGGGGGGGGGGGGGGGGGGGGGGGGGGGGGGGACAACAATATTCGGGGGGGGAGGGGGGGCGGACACTGTCAAAAGTATATATTTTCTATATAAATTCCATTTCGCTCGGGGGGGGGGGGGGGAGGGCGGAGATGCCTGGAAGAAACTGTACGAACTAGGGACATTTTCGCAGTCATGAGCTTTGCAGACCCGACCACGCCGACCACGCCTACCCCCATGATTAAGCTATTTTCACCAACTATCTTCGTCGTGTCCGTGACTAACTGACTAAATACTAACTTGAGACATGTTTCCCTCCCCTATCCATAACTAGCAATATTTTTTTTTCATCCTTGCGCAAATCCACTTTTTACTGAAAAGGGGGTGACCACTCTTGCCTCGTGGAAGACACATTTCTTCCCTCCCCCTTATACAATCTGCCACCCACACCCAAGGACAGGCAACTCGGGGTGTTTGTCGTCCTACGCCAACTAATTTATCTCCCTTTTTAATTTTTTTTTTTCTTTTGCCTTAACGACATGCATTTCTAAAATATTCCAGCCTCCTTATTCGGTAATGGGATCTTAGTAATGTCCTAAACCTAATCCTAATCTTAACTTAAAGTCGACTAGAATAGGATGGCGTTTCATATAGTCTGAAGTCACACTTCGATGCTGCCATGGAGAAAAAAAACACGGCATTACCAGGTCCCACTACAAGGTCCCTAGCCCTCACACGATCAGGCCCCTCACAATACCCTCACTTGTCCCTCACACATCCTTCCCTAGCCCTCACACGGCCTCACACGTTCATCCCTCACACTCCCCAGGCCCCTCACAATGCATTCACTTACCGGCCTTACCCGCCCCCCTCACACAGCCCTCCCTAACCCGTTCTTGTCCCACACTCCACCCGTCCCACACACCACCCGTCCCACACACCACCCGTCCCACACACCACCCGTCCCACACACCACCCGTCCCACACACCACCCGTCCCACACACCACCCGTCCCACACACCACCCGTCCCACACCACCCGTCCCACACACCACCCGTCCCACACACCACCCGTCCCACACACCACCCGTCCCACACACCACACGTCCCACACACCAGCCGTCCCACACACCAGCCGTCCCACACACCACCCGTCCCACACACCACCCGTCCCTCACACACGACCCTCCCTAACCCCTCAAACCCGCCAGTTCTTGTCCCACACACCACACGTCCCACACACCACCCGTCACACACACCACCCGTCCCACACACCACCCGTCCCACACACCCACCCGTCCCACACACCACCCGTCCAACACACCACCCGTCCAACACACCACCCGTCCCACACATCACCCGTCCCACACACCACCCGTCCCACACACCACCCGTCCCACACACCACCCCGTCCCACACACCACACGTCCCACACACCACCCGTCCAACACACCACCCGTCCCACACACCACCCGTCCCACACTCCACCCGTCCAACACACCGCCCGTCCTCACACTCCACCCGTCCCACACACCGCCCGTCCCTCACACACAACCCTCCCTATCCCCTCACACGAAAAAAAAACACCTGTTAAATCTAATCGAGTCAATTTACTTTAAAGTCCATAAATAGATTCCTTGAGTCTGTTGACCATACTTGTACAGTAGTCAGCTGAGGTAATACTCCATTAAATTGACAACCACGGATTCAAAACAGCTGACGTCACTGGCAGCTAAAAACATTTATAGCCTACACACACACACAGACACACACATATATACATATATATATATATATATATATATATATATATATATATATATATATATATATATATATATATATATATATATATATATATATGTAAAGATTTCTAGGTAAATTAATCTTGATTATAGAAACATGACATACATGTGTGTACATAGTTGCTCTTTCTTCTTTCTTCATTTGTGACACACACCACCCTCTTTAACTCCCCCACACGTCAGTTATTGTCCTTCACAACAATCTCTTTTACCTCTCACACGTCCCTCCCTAACCCCTAACGGCCCTCCCCACCCCCTCACACCGCCCGTCCATGTCCCTCAAACGGCCCTCCTCACCCCCTCACACGGCCATCCCCACCCCCTCATTCGCCCGTCAATGTCCCTCACATCGCCCGTCCCCTCACACAACCCGCCCCTCACACAACCCGTCCCTCACACAACCCGTCCCTCACACAACCTGTCCCTCACACAACCTGTCCCTCACACAACCTGTCCCTCACACAACCTGTCCCCTCACACAACCCGTCCCCTCACACAACCCGTCCCTCACACAACCCGTCCCCCACACAACCCGCCCCTCACACAACCCGTCCCTCACACAAACCCGTCTCTCACACAACCCGTCCCTCACACAACTCGTCCCTCACACAACTCGTACCTCACACAACCCGTCCCTCACACAACTCGTACCTCACACAACCCGTCCCTCACACAACCCGTCCCTCACACAACCCGTCCCTCACACAACCCGTCCCTCACACAACTCGTCCCTCACACAACTCGTACCCTCACACAACCCGTCCCTCACACAACCCGTCCCCTCACACAACCCGTCCCTCACACAACCCGTCCCTCACACAACCCGTCCCTCACACAACCCGTCCCCTCACATATTCTTCCCTCACACAAGCCGTCCCCCACACAACCCGTCCCTCACACAACCCGTCCCTCACACAACCCGTCCCCCACACAACCCGCCCCTCACACAACCCGTCCCTCACACAACCCGTCTCTCACACAACCCGTCCCTCACACAACTCGTCCCTCACACAACTCGTACCTCACACATCTCGTACCTCACAAAGCTCCCAAGTACAAAACCTTCAAAGATGACCCAACATGACAGGCGCAGCGCGTGCTTGCAATAATTTACGTACCACGTGACCTCTCACACTACACTCTTCTCCTCCTCACCCCCCCTCCCGGCTTGTCCCTTCCCCCCCCCCCCCCCCCCCACCCCTAAGACAGATAACAGACAGCCCAAGGTGTCAGACTTCACAAAATGAATTAATTAACCCCGGGGACGGGGTTGGTATTTTCTTTCTTTTCTTCACGGGTCAATGACCCCTATTAAAGCACGGGCCGTGGAAACCCATAAGTCCCGTGGCTTATGTGATCCACCCCCCACCCCTCACCCCCCCGTACCGGGTCTCACCTTGGTTTCAAAGCGTCATTTTAAGCCAACGATTCTAGATTGTTACTTCCTCTTCTGGAATTTAAGCCTATTCAGTTACACTTAAAGTTGGTTAGTCCCACCGATTAATTCTGATATGGACTAGAAAATATTTGGACTTAAAATAGTCTACAGCTCATTTTATTTATAAGGGTTAGCTTCCGCATGTTGCGTTTCAATTTTGATGCTAGATTTGCATTAATCTTTATCTATCTAGAATCTACACGACACATTCTTCGAGATAAACACACACGCTATTTTTAGACGTGAAAGTACAACGACGTGACCTCTTTCATGAAGGTCATGGTCAAGGCTACACCACTTTCGCTTGTTTGACTTAACCTGGTCAATTTGCATGTTAAAACAGACATCTGGTCGGGATAGGTGACTAAATAGGGGCTACAGGTGAGATGAAGGGGCAGAGGAATGTCGGTAGTACTGCAGGTGTAATCAAGTGGCCAAGGTATGCTGGCCCTCTTAGAGATGAAATGGCCAAAGTATGCTAGAACTACTACAGATGTAATCAAGTGGCCAAGGTATGCTGGCCCTCCATCTTAGAGATGAAATGGCCAAAGTATGCTGGTCTAACTACAGGTGTAATGAAAAAGGCCAAGTATATGCTGGCCATCCAACAGGTGCTATCAAGTGGCCAAGATATTCTGGTCCCCTAGAGATGAAATGGCCAACGTATCTGACCCTCCCTCTTAGAGATGAAATGGCCAAGGTATGTTGGCCCTCTAAAGATGAAATGGTCGAGGAATGCTGGTCCTGTTACATGTGTAATTAAGTGGCCAAGGTATTCTGGCCATCCTACATGTGTAATGAAGTGTCAAAGGTACGAAGGCCATCCTATAGGTGTAATAAAGTGTCCAAGGAATCCCAGCCCTGTTACATGTCTAATCAAGTGGCCAATTGTATGCTGGCCATATAACATGTGCAGTAAAATGGCCAAGGCATGTTGGCCATCCTACATATGTAATGAAGAGGCCAAGGAATGCCATTCCTATTACATGTGTAATGAAGTGGCCAAGGTATGCTGGCCATCTAACATGTGAAATGAAGTGGCCAAGGAATTTTGGTCTGATTACAGGAATGTGGCCAATGTTGTGCTGGCCATATAACAGGTGCAGTAAAATAACCAAAAAATGTCAGTCCTACTAAATATGTAATGGCTTAGCCGAGTTATACCGCCCTACTACAAGTGTATTGAAGTGGCCAAGGAATGTTGGCCCGACTACATTTTTAACAAAGTGGCCCCATTTCATACAAAAAAGACAGATAATTGTGAACTTGAGGCTAGCTGTGTGTGTGTTTAGGGGCGGGGGGAGGGGGGGGAACAGGGATAAAGACAACGTGCGATGCATAAGTAATTACCGTCTTACATGTGAGGTGTTTAGGTAACTGTGGTTTTGTGTATGTAAGATGTGTAAGCAGCTTTGAACTTGCACTTGAAGCGTAACAATGTGGGTTGGGGTAGGGGGGGGGGGCTTGATATGTGGTCTTTTATGTTACTAGCCTTTGGTACCCGTTACACGGACAATTCTGGTAACTTTTAGCTCGCTTCTCTTTACCAAAGGCTACCCGGTTTTTCTTTTAGATATTTATCTCCGGTGAGCGGCATTTAAAACAGTCCGAAGGAGGGTGTGGGGGGTGTGTGCGTTTATGTTTACTTATTATAACTGTTTTTGTTACATATAAGATCAGATTATTACCTACCTATTTCGTGACTTTATAGAAAGCATGTATCGTTTTACGAACTTACATATTTTCAACCTTCGCCCGTTATCATATTAGGTTCGAAACTTGAAGCTCGACTGTATAACGAATATACTGGAATGTTTTAAAGAAATATTTTCAGATATTTGTATTATTATGTAGGGAGTGATAATTTTAAAGTATACACAGCAAAGTTATAAATAAAGATGTTTAATCCTAGACGAGGAATACCCGCAGATTAATGTCTTAACAGGGATTAACACTAGCTGGATTAACATATGTAGGTCTTACAACATGAGGCAAACCCGGACACCAGGTGGGAGAATAGAGTCTTTCTAAGGCAGGTGTGTAGGGGGGGTGTGGGGGGGGCGAGTTGTGTGGGAGTGTGAGGTTTGTGTGGGATGTGTATGTTATGTGGAGTTTGTGATGGTTAGGGTATGTAGATGATGTCAAGATGCGGCTCTCTAGTTATATGCACACATTTTAATAATTATTTTATTTTATTTTCAAAACTCTTTAAAAATATTATAAAGAAAAAAACAACTTTAATCAGGATCGAAACACACATCAGAGAACATTGAGACTCGGTGAGGTAGAGAGTATACGGACAGCTAACAGACGCTTAAAATGAGGAATGTTATTTTATTCAGAATGCATTTCTCTATCGGTCAGTATGCATTAATTTAACCGGAGTGATGAGCTTTTTTTAGTTATTAACTTCTTACGGTGGAGCCGGGTACTTCCTTCCTTCCTTATACGGAAACCGGCTCAGAAGGTTGACTTCCATTAGCCAGGCAGGTCTCATTGTAGCAAACTCCGACCACAAGAGTTTCCCACACATCGGTCGCTACTTCCGCCGGCTCTCGCCAGGCTTTCCTTCCCCACCCACCAGACGCGGGACGTCGTCCTACCGCCTGGTACCCAGCTTGATCATGGGGGGCGTTCGGCCAGATCAAAAACCTCTAGCTGCTGTTGGCTACCACTAGCCATTCCGCACCCACTAGGGGGGGTCATGAGCTTGGTCCGACTAGTGGCACTCTTCCGAAGCCACGTGAAGGCCGCAGCTTAAAGTCAAAATATCTGGTTAGGGTCGAGAGCATACTCCTTTTGGTTCCCGGCAGTCGTGCACCTCACCTCCCCCACGCTAAAATGTGGGGGACTTGGGAGTCCGACGTACCAGGCTCTTCGGAAGGAGCCGGGTACTAGACGGTCGGAGTTGGTCGTGCTGAGAACTGCCCGGCTATGGGAGACACCTCCTGAGCCAGTGGTGTCCGTCAAGAAAGAAAAAAAAAGTTATTGGCTTCTAAAGAAGATTGGGATAGTCGTATAGTTATATTATTTCATTACTAATTATATCATTGCAGAGCTAGCTAAATTACGTTTAAATTTGTGTGCGAAATATTAGTATATTTTTAAGAATAAATATTATTTCATAGAAAATTACTAGATCTAATTTTTTTTTCGCCTCAGACACGTAATTTATAGCGTCAGTTGTGTGTTCGCTTTAGTATTACAGTTTTCATCATCGGCTTGTGAGGACTGACACAGATTTACA